GAAGAGACACAAATACCATCTAGTTCTAGTATCATGATGATGAGTGTCTGGTTAACTTGGCAAGGCCCAGTTGTTAGTTATGCCGGATTATAGCCAGACTGCCATCATCTTCAAAGAGAAAAGATGGTACGTTCTTATCGTCAGCATACTTCATCATCCTAAAATGCCACAAAGAATCTGCATGTACCTGAATCATACGTTCTAACCAGGCCATAAATCATTCACAGAGTAAAAATGGAAACTGTCAAGTTCATTACAAAGCACAACTGCTTGGGAAATTAATGAACATTTATTGATGTCCTTAAAAAAAAAAAAAGAATGAAAAACAAGAAGGGGTAGTCTGTAAAATGAGACTATTTGTAGATTCAAAATTTCCCAGGTCACCCTTTACTTGTTATGCTCAAAAGATGGGAAGCTGTTTTTAAAGGCACACAATCTCTGTCTAGTCTCCCAGCACATTGCTTTGTTATTAGGAATGCCATTTGTGTTTGAGCTAGGAGGAAATCCAATGTCAAATGAAAGGGGTTTCTCCTTTTCATGAATTAGCCTTTCTTTTTGCCATGCCATCAAAAAGTGAGGACACTGCTAATTTCCCAAATCTCTTGCAGGCTGGCAGTAAATGATTCAAGCAGATCACTGGATGCCTTTATCTCCCAGTGACTCATGCTGGTGAGAGCCAGCTTTATGGGTTTGAAACCCAGCTAAGTTCTCACTGCCTCCTTTGTCTTTTATATAGCACAGCTAGTAGCTTAAAGTGAATTAAAAATTGTTTTTGAACCATACAACTTGTTATTAGTTATTTCCATACATTTTAATCTGTCTTCTTGGTTGTATCTAAGTATTATGCTGACATTTTCTTTGCAATCTGAAATATAATCTTGACATAATTCTGGAAAATGATAACTCTATGGTATGTCCCGAAAGTAGAGAACATCTGTTTCATTTTTAAAAGGGAAAAGGCATTAACTTATTTCTCATCTCCTCTAACTGAACTTTTAAAAGATTATGATATGCAAGGAAGTGCAGTTAATAATCTAGAATTGTAGAAGATAATCTTATCTATCTAGAATGAATCTGAGAAAATGGCAAAGAAGGGATTCAGCCAGGTGGTTTTGTTAAAATAAACTCCAAAACATTTTCTCATACAAGGTAAAATCATCTCTATCTTTATTAGAAAAGAAAAAAAAATAATTTCATATTAAGACTATGTGTCTCCTTTTATTAGGAAGATTCAAAGATTTGGCATTGTCAGGTTGGAGTTACTAATTAGCAATATTTTTCTCCTAACTCAAGACTTGCTTCCTCTGAGCGAGTTTCTGAAGAGGCAACAATCCTGCTGACTGAAACTACACAGAATTTTCCAATGGTCTTACCGATCAGTTTATCTTAAGTAATTTTCCTAATGTGTTTGATAATATCATGTTTCAAGAGTAAGCAAGCCATGTGAAGTTAGTACTCTTCCAATCCTTTCATTTGTTAGATCAAAATCAAATTCAACAGAAAAGCCATAAAGATAAGCACTATTAACTTGTTAAGCTGTCATCACACACAGAAACTGGCTAACCCAAACAGGTTATGTGACCCATGAAAGCAAGAGATATTTCTCATCCCTTTGGTGAATAAAAATACTTCCTGCTGTCACTTATCGCTTAAACCAAATAACAAATATTAACATTTAATTATTGCTGACACTTGTCAAGGTCTTGCATTTGAGACTGCCATAGTAATAAATGTACCCTTCACTCAAGAAAAAAAAAAATTTTAGGGAGCGAGGAAAGGAGAGAGAGAAATATTGGTGTGAGAGAGACCCATTGATCGATTGCCTCGTGCCCTATAACCCAGGCTCAAACCGACGGCCTCCTTTCGGTGCACAAGCAATGTTCCAACCAACTGAGCTACACCAGCCAGGGCCTCTTCACTCAAAAATTTGAAATGACATATCCAACACTTTCAATGTATAGTTTGTTAAAACTAAAAACATTCAAAATGGCTGTAAGAGTTAAATGAAACAAGCTATGTTTCAACAAAAAAGAGCGAGGGGGTTGAGAATACTTAAACTGAGACAAAACTGACTTAGGTTTCATCTAAATTCACCTCTATTTACCAATTGTTTAACCTCAAGCAAGTTACTTATGCCCTCTGAGCCTTGGTATCCACATATTAAAAACGGGATAATGGACCTTATTTCAGAATGTTATTTTGCAAGAGAACACATAGGAAGCATTTACTACATTATTGATGCATAGTAGGCATTCAAGTTGCTAGTAGAACTCTTTTTGTAGAACCCCGATAGTATTTAGGAGAACTTGCTTCATTATACTGGTTGATGTTCTCAAACTGAGTATCTTTCTAAAATAGAAATAAACTGCCTCTGGGAATACAATGATTCTGACAGGAGGTCTAATGGAACGTCATCAGGATTGGCATCACACCATTCAAAGATCCCCAGGAACCAGAGATGGTGCTTGTGAGACCCAGGGTTGTTTTGTGTGCTACGGCACCTCTCAGGGCTGGGGAACAAGGAATTCACTTAAACCACTCTGCTTTTCTTATGCTCCAGCTTCTTTGCATAAATTAGCTTTTAGTGACCGAAGTCAACCATGTAATATTGGGGCAGCATAAAATTAAACAGATGCACTAATGAGAAAAAAAAGTAACGTGAGATGACAACATTTAGTCACTGAGGTTCTGCAAAACAGGATGTTCTTTCCACACCACCTCTTCCTCTCATTCACTAAAGATGACGAGTTACAGTACTTTGGTGCTTGGCAATTATCACCCCAGAAGGAACTTGGCATATCTATGAACTAGAGGTGTGTGTTGAACTTGCTTTCTATATTTTAAAGAGATTCCCAGGGGGCTAGCAGAGAATATATAACTTTCTATGAAGTATAACTTAAATTCCTTGAAGGGGAACAGTAAGAGTGAAAACTTACAAGAACTATAATGATAAAATTTATTTTTTTAAATTTCTTTATAAAAGTTGTACTTGCTAAGGTATCTTAAGTAGATAGCACTTGGGAAGAAATCATAAAGAACTAAAAGATCTAGCAATGATAAATCAGTAGGTAGTGGTACCTAGGAATCTGAGTTAAAGCACACTTCAGTATCCAATCAGCATAACCTTCATACAGTCAACTACCATTTGCCAAGTGGTTATTATGCACAAGGTACTATGGAAGCCACATGGAATACACTAATATGAAAAAGTCTGACTTTAGAATCTATAATAGTGGAGATAGACACATTAAAAATTAATAATTTTATAATGTATTAAAGCACAGTAACATCTGTGGGCATAGTGTTGTATGATTATGAATTAAGGGTGCATAGTCTTGCTTTGGAGGTATTAGAGAAGGATTCCTGGCAGATATAACACCATTTCTAAGCCTTACAGGATAAGTATAATCTAGCCATTGGTAATGAATAGAAAAAAGGCCGTTCCAAGAATAAGAGACCATGCGGAAAAAGTCTTGGTGATAAGAAACAGCATGTGCAGAGAACAATAAACAAATCAATACAGAATCTTGGAGTGTGCCAGAGAGTAGTGAGAAAGAACAGTGGGATGCAGTTTGCGGAGGATCTGATAGAATAAGGATAGTTTAGGGGATAAAGAGTTGAAGAGATTTAAGCAAGGGAGCAATATGGGTTAAATTTGCACTTTTAGTGGTCCTTCAGATAGTATTATAGAGGAGAGATTTGAGAGGGAAAGAGAAACAGGGAGAAAGAACCACCCAAACCGTTGCATTAATCTAAGTAAGAGGTGATAAAGATTCGATCTAAGGTCATGGTAGTAGGAATCGAAAAATGGATTCATTAAATACATTTTGGAGGCAAATTAAACCAGTGTGGACAAGTGATAAGGATGTAAAATGAAGTGCTGGATTTCTAACTTGGGTAACTGAAAGTTTGGTGAAGACACTGAAAGAAAGAATACTCTAAGCCAGTGGTTCTCAACCTGTGGGTCGCGACCCCTTTGGCGGTCGAAGGACCCTTTCACAGGGGTCGCCTAAGACCATCCTGCATATCAGATATTTACATGACGATTCATAACAGTAGCAACATTACAGTTATGAAGTAGCAACGAAAATAATTTTATGGTTGGGTCACAACATGAGGAACTGTATTTAAAGGGCCAGAAGGTTGAGAACCACTGCAAGAGGAGTCAATGAAAGAGGAAAGATGAAAATTCACCATCAATTCCATTGGCAAGGCCAGTGAACTATATCAGTGACAGTGACAAACAGGAAACTGGATAAGGAAATCTAAAACTTGAGGGAGAGTTGGAACTGGATATATATGTGGGAATCATTAGCAAATAGGTATTCGTTCAATCAAAATGGGACATTTTACTCAGGTGAAGCATATCGAGTGAGAAGAGTATCTGACAGAGAACATAGAGAAGGACCCACAGCACCAAATGTAGCAGAGGCTGGGCAAGATACAGGCTGACAGCATCTGCTAGATTTAGCAATTAGTAAGGCATTGGTGACTGAGGAGAGGTCAGATGCAGAGGGCTGAGGAGTCAATGAGAGGGAAGCAAGTGGAGAAACTTCCTTGGAAAAGAGGAAAATTGTGGTACCAGGAAAATTGGCGGTGGGGTGGGTATTTCCATACTAGTTGTAAAAAGAAAATGGAATTCACGCAAGCATATTCATAGATTGAGAGGAACATGGAAAGATCCATTTTCTTTGATAAATCAGATCCAGGATATTCTGGATGAATAAAATCTGAAAGCACTTTAAAATTTTATTTAAAACCATAATTCCTTCCCCTCACCCCCCCCCACCTCCCTAACCTCCCCCCCCCCCCCGCCCCCGCACCAAAGCTTTCAGCTATATGCCTAGCGACCTTCAGTTTGGACTGATTGTGCTTTTCCTGACTTTTTCAGCCAACATTTCTGCTGGCACCACTAATAAGCCATGAATGCAAGCAACATAATGAAGAAGGAAATAGAAGGCGGGAAACAAGGCCCTGAAAAATTCAGGCTGGAAAATCACCTTCTGAAGGGGTCCGGGTTGGCTGGTCACACACTGAGTAATGCCAAGTTGGCTGTGCTCCTTTGAAATGTATCCAAGCTCCATCTCAAATGCTAAACACTGCAGAACCCTAAAAAAAAAAAAAGTCATGTGCTATAAAGTATGGGCTTGGTCCACTTTCAGGGTTGTTATTTTCCAGAGAGAAACCATGGTGTCTGTAAGTGGTGGCATAAAAGCAATTACTTCATTATCTTACTTCCCAGCAATAGATGACATCTAACAATTACTGTTTGGCTGCATACCTTTTAGTGTCATCCCTCCTCTGTGAACACCCAGGGTGGTGAAATCCAGGGCGTGCTGACAGCACTCCTGGGTGTGTTGTACTGACTTTGGCTGGCCCAGGAGCTCTGCCCAGTTTCAGGTGGCAGACACTTCTTGATCATTACTGTGATGGTAATACCAGGGCAAGATCAACACAGAAAGTAAAATTTATTTTCCCTGCTTATCTATAGTTATTTCACATGCTTTGCATAATTCTTTAACAATAAACCCTAAGGACCTCTTGCATTTGGGACACAGCTCTGGAAGTCGAAAAACTTTATTAGGTATATGTTGATAACCTACCTTAAATTCACTTGGGGAAAAGGCAGGGTATTTATAAACTTTAAAAAGAACCAATAGTGCTCTGGTGTGGACACAGAATTGAATCCACGACGAAGTCAATGACAAATGAAAATACAATGAACAAACTGAAGAGGAGACATATCATCAGGCTGCAAATGTTGCTTTCCAGGTGGTTTCCAGGAGTGGGTGGCAGTCTCTTGTTTTTGAAAGATAATTCTGGAGATTAAGGATCCCAGCCAGAGTGGGGCAGATGCATTTAGACAGTGAAGATGCATTTAGAGTGAGGACATACTGAATGCATACCTGTGAGCATCAACACATCCACAAGGGACCTGTTTGTGGTCCTCACCTGTCTAAACTTTGATTCAATTATATTGAATTTCACCAGGCATCCTAGTCTTACTAATGCTTCCCCACAAACGCCCACTCAACTACTCTTCAGGCACCCTAATATAGCCTGAAGTTAGCCAGGACTTGTATGTATTATGATTTACATATAAAACATCAAGTTCTCTTTACTCAGAACCCTCAAGGCTACTGAGAAAAGGTGACCAAGCTGAGAAACATTTGAGTTGCTTCCTAGATTCTGGTAACATGGCTAAGTTGAGATGAAGTTACAGCTCTCTTGGGGTTCCGGGCTACTAGTTTCATAGCTGACAATGGTAGCTGAGGGGCAGAATAGCTCAGTGAAATATTGGACATTTGCAAAAGGTTCCAAAAGTTCACTCCTGGGAATTTAATGATTTCTGCTTCCAAGTTCCGGGAGGATGCTGCTGTTTCTTATGCTTAATGTTGGAGCTACTTTGTTGCCATAGGAATTAAAACACTGAGTTTCACATCAAGTCACATTCATTTTGGTTCATAGCCCTGGAAAAACTGATCAATAAATAATAACTAAGAAGAGATAATTACATAAAAAAATTGCAGTTGCTCCGAAACCGGTTTGGCTCAGTGGATAGGTCCCGGGTTCGATTCCGGTCAAGGGCATGTACCTGGGTTGCAGGCACATCCCCAGTAGGAGATGTGCAGGAGGCAGCTGATCGATGTTTCCAACTCTCTATCTCTCTCCCTTCCTCTCTGTAAAAAATCAATAAAATATATTTTTAAAAAAAATTTTTAAAAAAATTGTAATTGCTTATTGACAAAATAAGAAACAGGAGCATTGGGTTCCTCAGACCTCATTTATTCCTTTTCTAGAAAGCTGTAACAAAAGATATAGACCTAGAATTATAACACTTAAGCTTAAATTTTTAAAATCATCTAGAACCATTTAAAGAACTATCTTTTTCAGTACCAAGATAGTTGTTGGAAATTGAGAACATTTTCTCGGTTTGCAGGGCCTAATTATACATTGGTACATAGTAAGTGCTAAATTAAAACATTTTTTAATTTCAAATTGAAATAGAAACATTTTTGCCTAAGTCAGAGAGAACTAGAAAACAAAGGGCCATTGTCCTTTAAACGTTTTCTTTGGGAAGGTAAGAGAAGAGTGGAACATTTTCTTGACCCTTTTTTGAGGTGGAAGAAAGAATAAATCTTGACTGACTACCTGAGGAAAAAAAGAAAACATATTAAAAAATATATAGGTTGAGATTTCTAACCTTTATTAAGGGCCTATATTGTGTACCAGAACCCTCAGCTTACACACTACAGAATTAATAGGCCATGTGGCATGTGTGACAGGCTTGCCAAATCATTCTAACCATGATCTGCTCCAACTATAATGAACACCCTGTCCCTGCTCTTCTTCAAGCTACTAGCTCATCCTTTTTCCCCATGACTTCAGTGACACCTCTCCTCCCACCGCCAGTCCTCAAATCGAAGTCATGATTATTTCCCTGATTTAAAAAAAAAAAAAAAAAAAAAAAAAAGACTGAACTAGTACAGGAGACAATATATAATTAGCTATGTAGGGTTTTTCTTTTTAAGCACCCAGAGCAAATTAAATAACATATTAACAGAAAAAAAAATCTGGTCTTTGTTCACAGTATTATTTTTAAAAATGTGAAATTTCACTATGGTGCCAAACCATACAATGACTAAATAAGAAGAAGCCAATAAAACATGACAGATCCCATGGGGTTGGGTAACACCAAGAGCCTGAGGCCTTGCTAAGCATGTGCCTAAAGGCCTCTGGCCATCAGCTTCCTATGCCTGTTATTCAAGACCAGCACATTCACAACATTGAAGTGTTTTTTTAAAAGAACTTCTTTATTATTTGAGCAATACTACTATATTCTACCACATTTAAAAGTGATAGCAGCTGCAAAAATAATAACTAAGAACTTAGTGACTCCCCTCAACACTCTAATTATTTATTATTTTTACAAAGCAATCCTAATATATAAAAAGCCAGGGGCCATCATGACCAAAACAACCAGACAGATGACTGAACAGCAGGCTTTGTAGGGCGACCAGGCCAGCGGCGGGGTTGGGAGGGTGGGGGTGGGGGAGCAGTTGGAGGAAACCAGGCCAGCAGAGGGGGCAGTTAGGGGCGATCAGGCAGGCAGGCAGGTGAACAGTTAGGAGCCAGTAGTCCCAAATTGTGAGAGGGATGTCCAACTGCTGGTTTAGGATCGGGCCTAAACTGACAGTTGAACATCCCCCGAGGGGTCCCGGATTGGAGAGGGTGCAGACGCCCCCCCCCCCCCGTGCACAAATGTTGTGCACTGGGCCTCTAGTTTTTAATATAAGAAAGCTTGTTGATAGCTTGAAGAAATAGGATGCCTGCAACAGTCTTGTAATTGTCCATCTAAACCAGGGGTTCTCAAACTACGGCCCGCGGGCCACATGCAAATACAAATATCGTATTTGTTCCCGTTTTGTATTTTTACTTCAAAATAAGATATGTGCAGTGTGCATAGGAATTTGTTCATAGTTGTTGTTTTTTTTAACTATAGTCTGGCCCTCCAATGGTCTGAGGGACAGTGAACTGGCCCCCTGTTTAAAAAGTTTGAGGACCCCTGATCTAAACTAAGAGGCTTTTAAGTGTGAGCACAGAAACTTCACTGTGTCTAAGAAAACCTAGTGGTTTCGAATAGGAGGATATCTTTATGCTGCTGCCTAGAAACTACTGATAGAGCGGAAGCGTTAGAGTGTGGATAATGACGTTGCTTTTTGCTCCTCATAGAACTTGAGACAAGTTATTTAACTCTATTAGTCCTTAATTCTGGCATTCCCTAAATAGAGTTATTTATAACTTCTCCCTCTGCTAAACAGCTTAGAGATCAATTAGATAAGCAGTTGAAAAGGTGTCATGGTGTATCTTTTACAGACATAAAGCCTAAAGCCCATTTCTAAGAGGCTTTACTGTTCCCTTCTCCTGGGTGGGCCTGGCTTCGTTGAAAACATCAGAAGAGAGGAATTAGTTGAATAATGAAGGCAACATAAAAACATTTCCATTCCTGCCCTTCCCATTAACTTGTGACTCATTCTTCAAGTGTGGTATTATAGTCACTTCCTCTGGAAGTTTCATGTCACGTGCAGATGGCTCCTGTAGGTAGCACACCTCAGATCTTGGACAGTATGAGTGTATAAATAGTATAATTATAGCATTCTGTACGTCATCCCCAAAGATAGTACAAAGTTATTCACACGAGGTCTGAAGGTATTATTAGCTATTAGAAGAATAAAATTAACTCTGATTTAAAACATTATTTTCTGGTAAATCCAAGCCTTTTTCATTGGTGGGGAGGGACAAAAAGGGACAAGGGGTTGAATTTGAGAAGAAAGCTAACCAAGTTATCTCCCTGTGAAACCATGGGGAAGGGAAAGCATTTTCTTACTTCATTATGCTCAAACACACAGATGTGGCTAGATTCAAGTCCTAACTCCCTCTCGCCTTCCTTGTTAACACTATGTGCCTTCATTCTTTTTCTTGCCTCCATTTCCTCATCTCTAAAATGGAATAAAAATAATAGCTCCGAACCTCAGAATTATAAGTAATAAGAGGAGGAAGCACTTGGCACATGAACTCTTTCGTGTATGCTTGTGGCGCTGTGTTTCATGAGCCCATAGTACCTGCTCGGTAGCTACTGTAGATGAGACAGCACCCACCTGTTCTTTAGAAGCGCCCGTGTGTTTTCTAACGGCCGCGGCCACGTCCTTTTCTTCTCACCCTGGTTGTGAAGTGCGAGCGCGTGTTGAGATCAGTGAGGAGGAAACAGACAAAAGGCAAAATAGACTTAAAATGACAAGAGCTAAGTCCCCATGAAAGGTACAGATTAATTTTGGGCCTCAGGGATTCTCAGCCTTTAGTAGCCATGTCCATGGACTCGCCGCTCCCTAACCCCGATGCTACACTGTAGGTTATGCTTAGCTAGAGAGCAAGGCAAACACTAGCCCTTAAACTCCCAAATAGCTGTTCTCCCAAACCCATACTTGTGGGAGTGCACAGATCTGGAAACGTAAGGATATGAAATCACCTTCGCTATGGCATTGGATGCTGCTAGTGACTAAGTTAAGGGAAGCCTTGACTTTCTGTGCGTTTTGCTTCTGTTTTATGCTTTCCACGTGGCAATATTAGTATAACTCTTTAAAAAACACGCATCCTGTTAGTTACTGTTCATTTATTTTCCATTGATGTTTGCTAGGAAAAAAATCCCACCCAGGCATCCGCTTGTAGGCTATTCTGAGGAACCATTTGCTGCCATGTCTGAGCGCCTCATCTGAGCTCTTCCCCGGCCTCAAAATACCGGCTCCACAGGACCCGCCGTGTCATGACATGTGAGGCACGCGGGGAAGGGTTGTCTGTGGTCTCAGGAAGGACCCGCACCCCCTCTGTCCCCCACAGGCTTGTCACCCCGACCGCCTGTCTTGCCCGCGCCCCAGGTTGGTGCCCCTGCAAGCGAGCCTTTTCGCAGCAGCTTGATGTCAAGCAAACAACCAGGAGGGATGAAGGTTTCAAAGTGCCGAGCCCAGTCTGTCCTCTCCTCCCACGCGGAGGCTGGGAAACGAACCGGTGCCTTGACATTCCCCGGAGACGTGACGCGCGAGTCTCGCTGTTGCCAGGGATCGCCGCCGCCTGTCAGACCCGGCTTTGTGCTGGGGTTTCAGGCAGAGTCCTACGGCCTCGGGCTTTTTTTCTGCGCGGCCTGAGCACACTGTGACCATAAAGCCGGGTTGGTGAGTCCCTGGGAAACAGCAGAGGTCACTAATGAAAGGCGCTTGCCAGTCAGCGACTCTCATCTTTAATGGCTTTCAAGGGGCTTGGCCCCATCCTTTGTCTGCGTCCCGCTGGCTGGAGGGGATAATGCTGCTATTCTTTTCATCACCATGTCAAGGCCCTGCTTGCTGCTATCCCCTTTTGATCAGCCACACTTGGGACACACTGAACTTTCTCCTCTGCCCTCAAAGTCCCAAGTTGCCAAACGAATGTCTGTAAAATAGAACAGGGCATGCAATTGTAGCCACTAAAGACAGAGAGAGAGACTATCATGTGTCTATTTCTATGCACATTTCAGGGTTCTCCCCACCGTACAGATTCCTAAGGAAGAGCGACCCATCATCTGTTTAAGCTCTTCATTACGTTCATGAAGGAATGACATTCTCCCTTGCCCTTATAGCCGCTGTCACCTTCCAGGTTAAACCACTCTGTCTCCACAGCCAGGTTTCTGACATGAAGGAAATTGGTTCCATTTAGTACTTTAAGTCACAAACAATAATAAAGAGTAGTTGAGAAAAGTTGAAAGCATCTTATTTTAAGTGTCAGACTTTAAAAGTTTCCTTTATCGTATGTTTCCTCTCCCAACCTTGCCCTATGTTGGCTTATAAATACCAGGTTAACTGCTTGCTTGCCTGAAAAAGTCCGTAATCCACTTCATGATCCCCTGAAAGGCCGCACTGAAACCCTAACCTCTGTGGGACCCCAACATTGTCCTTCACCATCCAGTCCAAGTAAAGTAGAACCATCTTTGAGAGCACAGCCACAATGAAAACAGGGAAAGGAGGTACACTTGCCTCACCTACATTATGCATAAAAGATCTTGCTGTGTAGCTCTTTTTTTTTCTGTTCTTGATCGTTTGCATAATTGCAGTGCTCTTCTGATTCACTCTGCCATCCAAGACTTGGCTGCTAGCCCTGCAAAGTGCTTTCATATAAAACTGGAAGTCAAGAAGTAAAGTTTGTTGCTCCAATTAGCCTAAAATCCAACCTAATTCACTGTTGGACCAAAAGAGGACTTTCTAAAGACAAGTAAAAGCAGTGCCTATCACTTCAGTAGCCGATCCCTAAAGGAAGGTTGGGTTGACTGCCCTCTTTCCAGCTGAGCTAGAAATGACATTTTAACATTCTCATTCAAGGTCAATGGCTGTATTGTCCTCTTGTGGTAGTTGCAAAATCGACTGGGGTGGGGGCAGGTGATGAAAGATGAGGGGAACGAAGCTTCATTACTGTGTTACCCAATCAGCCCCTGCCCACCAGCTGGAGGTCAGGGGAGTACAGAGACACAAAACTCAGCTCCGCCAGGGAAAAAGGAGAGGTGTGTTTGTTGGCTGAGGAACACGCACTCTGTTGTATGTTGGTGATTGCTCCATTTGTTTACATGGTGACTCATCCATGCGGCCACTCTTTGTTCTTTAGACAAGACAGGCCGTCCAGCAGACCAAATCTTTGTTTCTTATGAGCTCATCGGCTTCTGCCTTCTGCAGGCCACACCTGTAATTATAATTAGGGCCCAGTGCTTGGGATGCCGCAATCCTTTCTAGTGAAACCAATTGTGAGTTCACAAATGAGATGCTTAGTGAAGAGAGAATGCCTCAATTGATAGAATCAGTGTCATTAGCCCCTTTCACTGGTTATTCTGGCTGCACTTAGCCTTCTATTAAGATTTGGGTGATTAACATTTTTCAGTAATATGGGGCATTTTTACATTTTCAAGGGAAATGTGATGTTAAACTAACTGGGACACTGTGAACAGGCCTAAGAAGGCGAGGCTTTCGGAAGCAAACAGCCGATACCGGGAGATGAAGAAACGGGTGAAGTTGCATCTCAGTGACATTGATGAAGAAAAGAGATCCTTGTAGCATCACTGAAGTGAACGCCTAAGAGACGGCATTTGTACATCATCACATGTTGACTATTTATTTTGACCACATCTTTCTTATAAGATGGGCATATGTCTCCACACTGACCGGCTCAGTGTGCTGCTAAAATATTCTGCATTATGAATAGTCCACCCTCAAGTCAGAGCAGCCGGATGGTTTTACAAACTCACTGTTCTTTAGATGAAAAAATGTAACACAGAACTTTTTTGTTTCAATGAGATTGAGACTTGGGGACATGCAGGCCTTGTTCTAAAGTAACAGAGTTCCTTTTTTTTCTGAAGAGCCATTGTTTCTCTTTGATATAGTGTTCTTTCCTGATACTTGATAAGGAAAGGAATTTGTGATTACTGGGTATATATGCAGTTTGCAGTTCTAACCTCTTTTTTTCCCCCCAGCGTCAAAATAGGAGGAATGGGATTTTTTTTATCCATATAAAGCAGATAAGACTTATTTTTTCCCTCTACAAGGTTTAATGTTTAAACTCTGCACCCGAATATTACAGGCTTCAATTGCTCTATTGTATTTCCATCAGACAAAGAATTTAGTCAACTGCAGTGGCATTTTAGCTTTTTAATCCTGTTGCAAATTACTGGATGTACTATGAGATTTTTCTCTTGTGTATCAAATAAAGTTTAACTTGGGAAAATAAACGAAGCAAAATCTAGGGCAAGGATAATTAATTTAATTTATCAGTAAGCCCATATTCATCTTAGGAATTTAGATAGAATGAGTATGCTTGAAAAAGATATATATTTACTCATGAAAGCTGCTTTTTTAATCAGGAAGAATCCCAGAATGTTATAATTAGCTGTCACCATCGCCTCACACAGTGGTCCCCCAAGTGTGGCTCCTGGACGAGCCCCATCAGCATCCCTCGGGAGCCTGCTTGCCTCCAGGGTTGCTGCCCACGAATAATTCTCCACACTGTCCCCAGAATGCCCCTGAAAAATACTGACCTAATTATGCCACCCTCTTCCTTAAAACTCTGACCCAGCTCCCCATGGCCCTTGAGTCAGGATATGAAGGATTTTCAAAGTTCCCCACCCACTATAGCTCCATCCCTCCCTGCATCCCCTATGCCCCCCCCGCACCCACCCACCCACCGACACACACACCACCACCACCACCATCAGGCACCTGCCAGCCCACATGCAGGCACAGGTGCACACACACAACCTGCACAACCACACAGCTCCAGCCATTGAGCTCCTGACAGGTACACTGCTGTCTCCATCTCACCCTGAGGCTCTGTTCATTGTTCCTTCCTCCTGAAGTTCCCTTTCCCCTTCCTTACCTCCCACTTTTCCCACCTCTCTTATCTGCATAACTTGTTCTCATCCTTCCAGGACTCATGTTGGTTCTCACTCACCTCTAGGAAGCTCTGCCTGAACACTCCCACCCAAGCCTAGGCTGGTTGCCTTTCCTAGGAATGTTCTGTGCTCTTCCATCACTGCACTAACCACCCAGACATACCGAGCTGCAAGTACTTTTTTGTCTTTTTGCCCCTGACTAAACTATAAGCTTCTAGATGGGAATGAATGTCTCTTACAGTCTTGATATCCCAATAGCTAGCATAGGGCTTGGTTCATAATAAGCATTTAATAAATATGCACTGGATGAATGAATGAGTTCCTTGCTACTACAGATGAACAGAGTTTGGTTCAGAGAGAAAAAGTGTCCTGACAAATCTACTTTGTAGGATGAACACCCTAACCTAACCTCCCGTTTTACTCAGTGAATAGAGCGTTGGCCTACGAACTGAAAGGTCCCAGGTTCGATTCCGTCAAGGCCACATGCCCCGTTGTGGGCTAGATCGTGGGGGACTTGCAGGAGGCAGCCAATCCATGATTCTTTCTCATCATGGATGTTTCTCTCTCTCTCTCCCTCTTCCTTCCTCTCTGAAATTAATAAAAATATTTAAAATTTTTTTTAAAAAGAAAGCTAGGTATTTCATGTTTTGCAACCATTGGACTAATTCAGCCTATTAAACTGTCATCGGTGCGGTGCTCTGGGTTGACGCACAGCTAGGGAGAAGCCCAAGAGGAGTTGACTCAGCTCTCCATGGAATAGGGGGCTCTCAGGGGGGCTGTTTAGAAGAAAATTATCAACTAAAAGGTGAGATTATCAAAATCTCTGAAATAATGAGGGATAATAACAGATTAAAGTAGACTTGTTCATTCGGTCCTGGAATTTTAGAATTAATGAGTCTTCTTGGTGCCTGAAGGGGATAGGCTTAAGAAAACTAAAAGAGGCATAATGTAAACTTGCGCAACCAATTCCCCCACAGGGTTTTACAGACTGGAAGTAAAAATCATTTAAGAAGGGATTGGATATGCTATGACTGGTAGGTCGTATTAAATTGGCCTTTTTTGACCAACGTTCATGCTATTCTCAAATTCAGATTATAAATTACCTTCTCTTCAGAGCCATATTATTAGCTCTGGGAACACAGGGAGGTTGAAACTTCTCATTTCATGCGTCTCTCTTGAAATATAAGATGTTGTGAACCCAGGGTTATCGAGTGTAAACATGATGTCAGATCAACTAATGAAAGGCTAGCGCATAAAGGCTGAGGTGTGCAATCTCAGTTATTGTCGTCATTACTCTGTGGGAGTCATTTGACCAGTCTCATCATGCCACATGCTGCCTGCTTCACTTTCTGTCTCCGAGAGTCATGACTGATGGTTGCTGGGCCACACTCTCTCAAGAGAAGTCTTTATTCTATAATGTAGGGACAACTGCAAAATGACAGTGTGTACCAGTGTCAGGAATCCAAGGCGTGACCTCAGTTTCATAGTCGATATATCCACAGGATAACGCGTTTTCACATGTGAACTGTGGTGAATTTTGTCTCTTATGTGCACATGCATTCGAGCACCCCAGGCCAGAAGCGGATCTCACAGTGCCTTGTATTCTTGAATCATCACTTTAAAAATAAGCACTTCTTATTTATATGCTTAGAGACAAACACTAGCCAGGCTGCTGTGGCTCCATGGTTGACCGTCGACCTATGAACTCAGTGATGGCGAACCTTTTGAGCTCGGCGTGCCAGCATTTTGAAAAGCCCTAACTTAACTCTGGTGCCATGTCACATATAGAAATTTTTTGATATTTGCAACCATAGTAAAACAAAGATTTATATTTTTGATATTTATTTTATATATTTAAATGCCATTTAACAAAGAAAAATCAACCAAAAAAAATGAGTTTGCGTGTCACCTCTGATGGCGTTAGTTCGCCATCACTGAACTAACTAGGAGATTATGGTTCTATTTGTGGTCAGAGCACAAGGGCACATGCCTGGGTTGTGGGCTCAATTCCCAGTAGGAGATGTGCTGGAGGCAGCCAATCAATGATTCCCTCTCATCATTGATGTTCCTATCTCTCCCTCTCCCTACCTCTCAATAAAAATATATCTTTAAAGAAAATGAAAGAAAAACACTAGTCAATATTTAGGGAGTTAGAGGAGTCCTGATCTTTTGCTCCCACTGTCTTCCCCAGGCCAGTTACACCAGACTTTTCTGTTCCCAGATGCACAGGTTACTAAACTTGGCTGCTATTTTAAATAGCGTATATGTTTATTAGATCTCAGAAATTTCTGTTTATTAATTGTAACTTCCCCCCTTTGGAAGTATCCAATTTGACATGTATTCTTTTAACCACAAATGTCTTATGTGAGCTTCTGGCTTTTTCCCCAGAATGAACTAACTATAGTTGTTTTGGATTTTTGTGTTTTTTGTCAGGGGAGCTTGATTTGAAAGTACAGAACAAACAGACCATCAAAAACATTTAAAGCTCCTTTACAAGCCGTGGATGAACTAGACATGGTCATGAACTTTAAGCTTTTATTACATTTATTTGGTGGCTATTCTCCAAAGAGCTAGGTTACCATTGTGACTGTTTACTTGAAAGAAGCAAAATTATGAGTTAAATAGATACTTCTATATTTTAGGAGTCGTAGAGGCAGATGTAATTTCTTTTTTTGTTATATGTATTTCATTGAGACTGTAAAATCCCTTGTTATAAAGATTCAAACAAAATTACAAAGTATAACAAGAGAGAACAAGATTGATTCCTTGTGCCCAGAAAAAAAAGGATGGTCCCTCCCTCTCAGGAAAAAGCAGCCCCTTCAAATGAAACATGAGCCATGCCATAGTCAGCAGATTAGCACGGTATCTAGCAAGGAGGCCAAGCAAGATAACAGGCTCAGAATGGCAACACCCCATTTCTGCCTCCACACATTTTCCTGCCTCGGAAGCCTATGCAAAAGTCTAAATCCACCCCCAGGATATGTTAAGGCTTTCGAGAGTTCCAGCAACCCACTTTATAGGCTCATAAATTAAACATTTTA